CTGTAATCTAAGATAAGCGCGCCAGCCATCCTTTGTACAAACCAAGACATCAACGGTAAGTCCATAACCGAAGCGCTAATTTCAAGTTTTCAGGTAAATCTGATGGGCGTGAGAGATAGTATCCTCTTTAATTAGGTCTTAAATTCTTATTAATTTAACTTCTAAATTGATCTCTTTAATCTCTTTATCTAAATTGGTCACCTTGATAATTAAATAATAGATCTATGCATTTATAATTTTATTTCAGTTGAAAGAAGAAAATTAAATCATATATTTAGATGAAACATGAATAAACAAAGATTTTATTAAACCTAAAGTGTGAGGTAGAAAAAATAGACATAATATAATGATTGAGCAGAAATATTAGAAAGAATAAATAAAATTAGTAGTATGAGCAAGAATTTTTAATTTTATTAATGCTTTCGATGTTATGTAAATGCATTTTTGGTTCAAAACTATTTAAATAAACCAATTTAAGTTTGTAATTAGAAATAAAGTTTTAGAAAATATGTGCTTGTCTTTGATAATGCATCTGTGTATATAGAAACAAATTTAAGAAATAATGTTTTAATGTATGTAAATCAGCTTTATATTTGCCTCAATAGACGCCATAATTGAATCCTATTGAAATGGTATAGAGTTAGTTCAAAAGAAAAATTTCTTAAAATGATGACAGAACCAAATTGAAGTTGAACTAGGAATACACATTAGTTAGAGTGAAGTTACTGATGAGTGTTCAGAAAACTATAGCTAATCGGTTATAAAGTGATTGACAATACCTATAAAGATAATAGTTTGTTTCAACCAATTAACAAGCCATACATTAATTGCACAAGAAGGTCATCTCAAAAACAAAGGGATGTGGTCAAAATTAATAACAAGATTTTAAATGATTAAATTTCTCATCTAATTTAATTGTTTAAAATAACGAAGAAAATTAAGGATGTGAACAAAATTATGTTAAAAATAAAACATGGAGGATTAGCTTCTTTTTCCTTTATATCACTAGATAAGTAAATTTAGAAGTAAATCTCAATTAAACACACCTTACAAACTTAATTAAATTGCCTCCAAATTTATCATTATTTTATTATTTTGTTATTTTTGATTTTAAAACAGAATTTTTCTTTATAAAATATTGTATCAAATATTCTATTTAATATTTAAGAGGCAGTTAAAGGCGGCTCCATTTCATGATTTAGATTCCATTCATGTCCATCTGATCAGAACAATAAGACAAAGCATT